TTTCAAAAATATAATTGATAGCTGGGGAGATAACTTAGCAGCATAAGTGCCTGCCTTGCAAGTACAAGGTCCTGATATTGATTACTAGTACTAAAAAAAAGGAAGAAAAAGAATAAACAATAGTGTAGGTATGAGCTTGTTTCATTTGTGCTACTCAGTTTTCTTTTTTGTTTTTTTGTTCAGGAGACAGTGCAAATCTTTCCCCCACTATCAAAATTATGAAAACAAGTTTCTCACCTTTTTTGGGGAAATTGTCAGGATCAGTACATCTGAAGTGCATTGGAAAAGTCTCACCCTTGAAAATCACCTTTGAGATCATAGTATCTCCCCTGTCAGGTCAGTATCGTTTTTCTTAATTAATTGAAAAGCAAGTTTTGTGCTAGTATCTGTTTGTTTTTACTTTGTAAAAAAGAATATGTCTTGTATTATAAGTAACTATTTCAAAGATGATACCCAGTATATTAACAATTTCTATTCTTTTTGTTATAAACTTCTGGGTTTTCTTGTATAATAAGAATTAGTAAGATAAAAAAAATAACAATAATCACTCATTAACAAAGTAACACTAGGGTTTGTTTTTATTCTTGGACATGCTTGCCTTAACACAAAGGATTTCTTTCTTCCTGGTTCTAATTTACTGTTTTTACTATTTTACCTCCAATACTTTTATCATGTGGGGAACCCCCATACCTGAAACTATTTGAATAGTTAAGATTTATGGCATATATTTATAAAAAATTCTTCATGATATGAGTTCAGTATTCACATAACTATTTCAAGTATATATGTATTACCAACTGAATATAAGTTTCTGTGCTAAGCAAGGTGACCAATATTTGAGGTGGTGGATATATTAACTAGCTTGATTTGCTCATTTAAAATATAGCTATATCTAAAGATCCTGCTTAGGCAGAGCGCAGGGACCATTTTTCAACCCCCAGAGTACTGTGCCAGCCCTGCCCCCAGTGCACGTTGAGACCGTGATTGAGACTGTGTGTGGTAGTGTGCACCTGTAATCCCAACTCTTGGGAGGTTGAAAACAGGAGAACCACTAAGAGTTTGATCTATATAGTGAGACCCTGCAGACATTTTAAACTCTGTACTAAATACCAAAAACATATGTATTGAAACACCATATATTAACACATTAATAAGTATGTACAAGTAATATTTAAAATAAAATAAAAATGCATATATTTTATAATACTTGAAAACATGGAATAATGAGAAAATAAATATTACATATAAATTCTGGTAAATTCAGTCTTTATAAATAGAATAAAACAGTATTATGAGTAGGTTAATATGATGATGATTAAAAATACAATAATGGGGCTGGAAAGATGGCTCTATTATTATATTAGGGCTATCTTAGTGGAATAAGCTCTGAGTTCGATCCCTGGTTCTGAAAAAAATATATATATATAAACATTTTACATATTAATATAGGAAGACATGGGCCAAATGATCAACATAATCTGACCCATTCATTCAGCATGTATTTACTAGAGTCTGTTCCTGTGCTGGCCTCTGGATCCAGCAGTTACATAATCACCACTCCTATGAAGTTTCCATTATAATAAGACATCATAAAGTTCATACTCTAAAAGTGCTATAATTGTTTAATCACAATCTTCTTCCTCCTCTAGTGAGTCAGCAAATAATAAAATTAATAATAAATTAATTTTAAGTTGTATGGTATATGTTAGATACATGGAATCATCATGAGTGCCAGTGATAATAAAAAGGACGAATGGAAAAATAGGGAGAATGGAAAAACTGAAAGAGCTACTTCAGTAAAGAAAAATGTCTCTGAGGAGGTCACATGGAACCTGAGTCCTAAAGAATCGGAAAGACCTGGTCATGAGGATGGATAATTCTGAAATATGAGCAACATGATATTTTTAAACAGGGACATGTATTATTTGTATAGTTAAATATAGTTAACCAATGCTTCATTAAAATATAACCTCTCCATACTGATTAACTATTCAGTCTTTATTATCATGCATTGTAAAAATGATGTCATTTTGTCTACTGTCACCAGCATACCTGAGAGGCCATCCAAATGTCCGATTTTTTGTGGGCTTAGAATGTATTGCCTCAAGAGTTCCATGGGAAAATGAAAAACTGTTTTTGTTTGCCTTTTAAAATAGATTTAGTACAATTAGCTGTTTAAGCCATTAATATCATGTGACTTTGGAAGAAACTGAGAGATTTCATATTCTTTAGATTCTGGAATGTAACTGAGATATGGTAGTACCTTCGGGGGAACAATTACATATTTTGTTCTAATTGACTTTTATCTTCCAGTGAAGAACTATGAAATTTAGAAATTAATTTTCAATTTTATTTTTTCCGAAAATGTGAAGAGATGTTGAGGATTTAGGACACAGAACACCTCATTTTAAGATTACTGTGGCTAAGCATAGAAAAGAATCCTTGAAAAAAAATTTTGTACAATCTCAGTCTATTCACATTTGAAATTGTTCTTATGAAATTACTATCTACAAGACAGTGAGTTAGCGTGGTTTGCAGGAATCTAAGGCATGATTTGAAAATATTTCTAATGGATTTTATACTTCATATAGGAAGTGGTATAGGAGGTAGAGTATGGAAAACTTGGCTGGAGAAGCCTGTGGCACCTGTGAATACCAAAGATGGCACTGAGTGATTCTTGGGAGCCAGTATATAGAACTTCTCCTGAATTCCCACTAAATGTGGATAACATAAAGATAAGATACCATGAGGAGCTTCCTAGTCTAGAAACAGGGTGAACTTTTATTTTTACTTTTTTCCCCTTTGGTTAGCCAAATTGGCTCTGCAGAGCTAGTTCTTCTTTATCACTACCCCCCCCACACCTTTGAAGTAGGCATTTGCACCCATTTTGGCTTGTTTCATCTAAATCTATGTTTGCAAAAAGAAAGACATGTAACATTTATTTGGTGAGTCATTTTTAAAGAAACATCATGACAACATCACAAACATTGATTTGGGGTATTTTCTTTAATCTCTTGGCTACTAAATTCAAGGCCCTGGAAAAGCAGGGTTGGGTATGTGATATAAGAATTTTCTGATTTCCATGGTTTGAAAAGTGTACTATTGCTGATTTCAAAATACCAACACAGCATGTGTGAATAATTTTTAGGTAGAGGTGTGCACAGCCCCCTTTTAAGATCAATGTGGATTTTGTTAGAATGTAGTCAGAGGTGATGCTAAAATTGTTTGTTATGAACATTAGCTCCAAATGATCCCTCCTGCTTCTAGGGAGATCAACATAAGAAAACCTCTCACAAACTTGTTTTCTGTTTTCTTTACATGATTGATATATGTTTGAGCTCTTATTGTGAAACAAACACTATTCTAGTTGCTCTTTCTGTGTACATTATTTCACATAATCTTAGCAATAAGAAATGATGATAATTATTATCATCACCTTGTAGTTATTGAGAGGTGTAAGCCTTAGAGAGGTGAATTAGTTTCACTAATGTTAAAAAGTTTTTAAATGGCATAACTAGGATCCAAAGGCACAACACTCTGGTTTCAGTTGACATGTGTTCTATGATGGTGTTCACAGGCTGTGGGCCTGCATTTTCTGGCTTAGTACTTTTAATTCTTGCCTTATTTTCATCATTTTTCAGGTACATACTTAGCCTTGGGCCCTGTAAATTGTCTCATTTGCTCTCCAGCTGAGCTTTCCAAGTTTTCTCTTCAGACACAATATGTTAGTCCTGCTCACATGTCTTAACCTGCCTGGCTGTCCAGGTTTTCTCTCCACCAGAGAGGCAAATACAATTAGACATTTAATCACACAATGACCATCTGCTCACCAGTGCCTTTTAGCAGTTTAAGAGCCAAGGGCATTTTGAAAAACAGCATTCACCAACCAAGGAGATATTTGAGCACTCTGATGCTCTGTACTAATGCCATGATATCTGAATAAGCAAATTAAGAAGGTTGGAGTCTATCTTATCCTCATCAGGTGGTCAAGAGAGGCAGTTACTGCCTTTTTGTTTACAAGAAAAGTTACTGTTTATGGAAACTGTTTCTCCCTCTAGTTTTCATGTTATTTCTTCATGCTTTGCCTACTTTAGGCTGATGAGAAATTCTTCATTTTCTGACCAAGAGCACAGCAGTTCATCAAGAATGATCTTGTCAATGATGCTTTATCAAAGGGTAGCTGGCTTGACCTTCAAGCATGAGTGAAAACTATTTACTTTAAGAACACATCAAGAAACAGTACATCCAGACCTTGTATACTTAATAGCATCTGTCACACATTTTCCCTTAAGAATTTGGTGACCTTCATGTAAGACTACGTTCTTTAAAACATAAGTTCTGTTTATCAGAACTTATGATTATACTGATTCAGAAACATTGATATCTAACTCTACTAACACATAAATTGGGTCAATAATTAATACTAGCAACAATGAAGTTTATAAGTTCACCGCTTTGTATTGCACTAAGCACAGTTACTCACATCATTTTTAAAATTCCCAAATATTACTTTTGCACAAATTTTTGCTGTCCCACAGCAGAAAAAGATATTTCTGATACAATGTTGATTTGCTCTTTGTTTTATTTCAAGTATTAATAAATATCTGAGATGTTGAACATTTAATAATAAAATTTAATAAATCATTCAATTATTTTAGTTTGATATACTACAGACAAAATGACATGGGAATTTAACATTTTGCAATCTTAAATGACAGGTTGTGAGAATGGATTTTCTTTGGAACATAGGTTTTATTTCTGATTAACTTTATATTGTTGAAGGATGCAATTTTTAAATCTTTTAGCAAAGGAAGCTTAGTTTTTACTAATGGAGAGTAAAGTAATTTAAATACCGATTTCTGCATGTAAAATTGAAACTATATGTGTCAAAACAATTGTATTGATATGTAAAAGTTCAAAAAGAAACACCTTTAAATAGAAGTATGTACTCAAACCATATTTGAGATTTTTGATTAATTGATTAAAACTTTCTTGAGATTCACAGTGTTGTTGTAAGGCATATCAATAATTTGTGCTATACTGTCCAATAAAGAAAAGCCATAACTGTAATTTCTAAACTACAACAAATAATATAAAGTCTACAATGTCTAAAGATTAGTACTTCTTTTATTGAATATAGTGTACATATTTTAGAAAATAAGAATCATGAGACTTTTCAACAGCTTTCACATACTTCAGAATTTCAATATTTTTAAATAGTTCTGAAACTCTACAGCTCTCCCATCTCTCTGGCACAGACATAGAGCCTGCAGATACACCAAAAGACTGAACAGATGGTGCACTGGAGGAGTTTGAATATTGAAAGGCCTTATAGAATAAAAAA